TCGAACCCACCACCTTAGGTGTATGTGGCTGGCGCCTTAGCCGGTTGAGCTATAGGCGCCGAGCCAGATTTTAGAATCTTGACTAAAATACATGCAATGCCCAGGATGCATAACTTTCCAAAATACAAAGAATTGTGACCTATTATCAACAAAGGAGACAATCAAAAGAGGTCAATCTGAGATAACTAAATGTTGAATTCACCAGTTGAAGACCTTAAAGTAGCTATTATGCTCAATGGGGTAAAAAAAGTCTTCTAATACTTAAGAAGGAAATACTAGAAGAAAATCGAAAATATGCATATAAAAAGCAAGTAGAAATTTTAGACCTGAAAAATACATGAAAATAAAAATCTTACTGAATGGGCTGTAATAGCAAAATGGAGATAACAGAAGAAAGAACCAGTGAACTTGAAGAAAGAGCAATAGAAATTGTCTCATGAAGGAGGAGAAAGAATAGGAAAGAAAGCACACGGGAAGAGCAGGAGAGGAAAAGGGAGAGAGGAACACACAGAGAGCTTCAGGGATGCGTAGGGCCATATAAACAACACTGACGTATGCATAGTAAAGTTACCAGGAGGAAAGGAGAGAGAGGGTGGGATGGAAAACATTTGAAGAAAAAATGGCTGAAAACACCATAAATTTAATGAAATGCTTTAATTTTCTGATTGCATAAATTCAGTGAATCCCAAAAGGGATCAATACAAAGAAAAACAAACACAGACATATTGTAGTCAAACTGCTGAAAACCAAAAACAAGAAGAAATCTTGAAGGCAGCCAGAGAAAAATGACCCATTACATAGAGGGGAGCAACGATTTGAATGATGTGGACTTTTCAGCAGAAACTTTAGAAGTCAGAGGACAGTGTCATAAAAGCTTTGAAGTCCTAAAAAGAAAAAAAAAAAAAAACAACGGACAGCTTAGAATTCAATATCTACTGAATATATCCTTTAAGAATGAAAACAAAGGCTCAGCGCTTATAGCTCAACCGGCTAAGGCACCAGCCACGTACACCTAAGGTGGCGGGTTCGAATCCCCAGCCTGGACCCGCCAAA